TTAAGTCCACATCAGCTGTTCCCGTTAAGTTAACGTGCCACGTGAGCAAAAATTAACGGAGGGACCAAAAAGGGGCCGGATTTGTGAACAGTAAGAACCAAAAAAGGGATTTTTTCGGTACAAGGATCAAAAAGGGGCTTTTTCCTATAGTAGAGGGACCAAAAAGAGTATTTAACCAAAAAAAAACTAATTAAAATTTGATTTTTATGAATAAAAAGGTATTTTTCATGTTGGGTTGTACAATAAAAATGTAGTCTATAAAAATATAATTTAACTTATGAATTTATTATAATATTTTTAATAAAGCTCTTTATGTTATTTTATTAATGATATTTTAATAATTTTAGTATTTAAATTATACTTTTATTATGCAACTTGACATAAAAAAAATGAAATTCTTTTAACACAATTTACAACTTATACTGCATTAAAAATCAAGAGTTAGGAAGGAGATGATCAACACATTATATACATATAAAAAAAATGCATTACATGTTAAGAACTTAAAATAGTTCAATAGTAATCACTATAAGAGCAATTTGGTGTGGATTATGCTGAGACTTCCAGTCCAATGGTGAAATTGGTAACCATTTGAATTGTCCTTGCTCTTGCTATTTTTCAATTTTGACCTATCCATCAACTAGATGTAAAAAAAAAAAAAGCATTTCTAAATGATCATTTGTCTACGCCTGTTGGTCATTTGTCTATATCTGTTTACATGTTACAACCTCCTGCATTCATCGATTCACAGCACCCTAATTATGTTTGTTTATTACCACGAGCACTTTGTGAGTTAAAACGAGCTCCTTGTTACGTTTCTCTTCTCTTGTGGTTTCACTTGGCATTTTTCGATTGCTCAATGTTATGTAGCGGTCAAATGGTGTGTTTACTATTTTGCTTTTATATGTTAAGATGGTTCAATAATAATCACTAAAAGTGAAAACTTTAATATTAACAGTTGCTTCTTATCCAAAAATTTTTGTTTTATAAGAGTAATTCCAACGGCAAAATAGGAAACTCTAACCTTATCAAATCATTAAATAATATTTATTTAGATTTATCCAAAAAAACCCGTTTAGTTCATTTTCTTTCCTTTCTGCCTGTTTCCTTCCCTTGTCAGGCCATTGCCACTCTCCGCTCTTGTGATCTACACTGCACACCCATGTCGCATGCTCTTCACGGTACTTTTCATTTTCCCTTTTGCCTTCTTTTGTTGTTTTCCGAGAAACTGCAAGAAAATGTTGGGACTGGAATGGATGCTAACAAGCAAACATCTAATATTTATCTGTAGTGACACTTGGATGCTGAAGTTTGAAATGGGCTATTTCCAAACCAAATTTGTCAATAAAGTTTCCTTTGATCTCTTAATTATGCATTTGGTAGTTTGGGGCTGGTGAAATTATGGTTCTGCAAATGTTCAGATTTATGTTGGCTGTTTATTCTAGTTGTGGAGGAACGCTTAAATTTGAGACTACTGACAGAAAGTCATGCCTTTTTCATTTTTGAAGCAAATTTGAGATTACTGTTCCTTTTGGCATTTTAGAAAAGGGGATATGACTTTTGAAATTGAATATGTTAGTTTCTACCCATGAATGCTTTTCTTTTGGTCTTTCCTAAATGGTTTGGGGTTTGGGGTATGGGGTTTTAAAAATTATTGCATATTTGGATGCAAAGTTATATCAGTCTTACATTTGATTTCTCTAAGTTGGGTTAGATATACATTTGATGTAAGTTTTGGCTATTTAGAAACACGTGCTTGCTTAAGTTCTAGTATTCAGTCTTGCATTTGATTTCTCTACGTTGTGTTAGATCTAGATTTCTTGTAAGTTTTGGCTACTTATAAATGTGTACTTGCTTAAGTTCTAGCATTAAGGGTGTCAGGGAACAGAGGATGTTCATGGTAATGGCAGACTAGCCATTGTGGTGGTAGGTGTTCTCACATTGGCCATGGTTACAGTTGCGTGGTTCAGGTAGTTTGATGATGGTGACTTGTGGCAACTTTTAAGTGTTGTGTTGTTTGAAAGTGTAGGCAATTGCTTCAATTGTAGAATATGACACTAGCAGCATCTTTTATGAGTAAAATTCCATCCATGAGAAAGATGAGAAACACCTGCGGTTTTGTCTGTAAGGTGTTGTATACCTTAGTTGACATTGACCTAAAATGATTTTGATTTTGTGCCAGACTGCCAGTTGTGCTGCTGCACCAACTTGGTGGTTGTATTGGAGTGTAGTGGGATGGGAGATTGGTCATGACTCATGACAACGGTTGCAGAGGAAGGATGGTGGGTGGCTTTGATTGGCTTCTGTGGAAGTATAACAGGGTAATGCTAAGAGTATTCTACAATTCAAATTCAACTTGACTGTTGAGTTTTTGGCCAATAATAACAAATATCCTGACTGTAGAATTAATTTAAAAGCTATTCTACACTTCAGAATATGGATGAAGGATGAGACTTTGTAATGCATAGAACCTTCAGAATATATACGGCATGGGTTTTTCATATTCAGGGTCAGGTTCTTTCTTTCTTTCTTTTTTTTTTTTTTTTTAATTCTCTTTGTAAACACATTTTAGGTCCTTTGGGTTTATGTACAAAATATTTGATATGATTATTATTCTTATCAGCAAGCCTAGATGATCCTATAAGCATAAATTAATGGATTTAATTATTTTAAAATTAATTTAAACTTTCTAGATTGATGTAGTTTTGGTTAGATGGTTAGTCACTTCTTTTTCCCTTTGTTTGTTTGTCTATTTAGTGCAAGTATAAAGTATGCCATGCACGAAACTGAAAAGGTTGAATGATTTTTCATGCTTCTCATTGTACGATTGTTTATTCAGTGTTGATCATGGGTCCTTATGTTCTTGCAGGTTATGGAGTGGTCAGCAAGGGATGTCTCCCCTTTTTCAGTGTTCCTGGAAGATCAGTTGTTCTATCTCCTTGCTTTTTGAATGGTGACCTTTTATGTGCAGAGTGGGCTCTAATGGTCATAGAAGGAACCAATATTTCTCACAGCAAAAACATGGATTCCGAGATAGGAACAGGCAAAATGAGGACAGAGAGAGCTTTGAAACCTTTGATGAATCTGAACCGTTAGCTTCAAACGGGTCCTTACTCTCCCTCTCCAGTTCCCCTAAATTTCAAGCCACTGCAGCTCCAGGAACAAGAGAAAAGGAGATCATGGAGCTTTTCAAGAAGGTCCGAGCTCAGCTTCACGAAAGAGCTGCAGCCAAAGAAGAAAAGAAGATTGAAACTTCACAAGGAAAAGGTAAAGAGATGAAACAGTAGATTCCCTGCTTAAGCTATGAAGAAAACACTCAGTTGAACAAGGGGAGAGAAAAGACAGCAGTGGCAGCCCCAGGGACCATAATTTGGGTCACAGACAAGACAATGGCTCCTACAATGAAGATAAAAGCTCTAGCTTCTTTGAAACAAACAGAGGCACAAGGAATGAGACTAAAGAACGTCATTCACGCAGTTTAAGCAGGCCAACATCACATTTCAGACGGAAGTCACCCATCCCACAGGTGAAATATCAGTCCATTTAATCCAGTGAGGACACTGTCAATTCTATATCACAATTGAATTCAAATTGGAAGAGCAAAATGAGTTCTGTTGAGTCACCCTCCGAATCCGAATATGAGCCTGTATCAGAGTCCAATATAGAGGAGGAACTGGACTCTGAAGATGAGGCAGAGTTGGAGCCTGAGTCAATCTATCAAGATTCCAATGTGTTTGATAAGGTATCAGAAGCTGAGGCCTCTGATATCAATGATGCTGATAATGATGTGGACGAGGACCAACAGAACAACATTGAACATGAAGATTTGAGTGCATTGAAGCTAACAGAACTCAGGGCACTTGCAAAATCCCATGGAGTAAAGGGGTACTCAAAGATGAAGAAAGGCAATCTGTGGGAGTTGCTAAGTAGTACCCATTCTAATTAGTAATGCTGGAAAAAAGCCAATGAACAGAAGATTAAAATTTTAATGGCTATGAAAATCTCCTTCTGTTTTCCTATACTGTCAGTGAAATTTTGTTTACTTTACATGTAACATTAATGTTTAAGAAAAGCTCTTTGTAATCATTTTGGGAAGACTGCCCAAGTCCTCCAACCAGTCATTCTCTGATTTCTGGATCTTGGACTAGAATCATTTTATGTGAGATTGAATTTGTCAGACTTGTTAGGTTTTTGTAGGCCAATCAAGTTCTGGAAATTATGATTACAGAACTAATCAATGAATACATGTTTTTCAAATGTTTGCAGGAACAAAACAAATTCTTACTGGCACTTGTGGGTCTGATGATCTTAGAATTGGCAAATCAAGATATTCTAGCTGGATACTTGTTGTTCCTCACTATCCATCCAGCTTTAATGATGCCCTACCGGTAAAGTAGTCCTTTTGAGTATTCAATTAAAGTGAAGGCACCAAAGAAGAACCAATCATTTCACCGTCAAGGGACCCTACCTCCCATTTTTCTGAACCTCAAGGTGAAAAACCAGGCACGTGACATGCTTTCAGTACACAAACAAAGGTAAAACATACAGGACGGTCATGAAGATAATGTCTCTAGTTCAGGTCCTGATACCTAACAAAGAGAGGAGTAAGGAGCTTAAGGCATTGATGCATTCTCCTTTTCAAAAATTGAGTTAAATGTTGAAATTTTGAAGGGCACATGTGGGTGCTTTATAGATTAGACCAAAAGCTACAGTGTATTGACATTTTCTGCAGAGAGACCTTCCCCCCCATATGGGGAACCAAGTACTGATGAATCTGTCCTTAAGAAAATGAAACATAGCGTGTACGTCAAACATCATAATAATGCAATGAAAAAATAAAATTGTGGGATCAAGGGAGAAGGTGTTGCTTAAGTAATTGGGATTGGATCATTCTTTGACTTTCTGGAGGTTGTAGAAGATCACTGATATGTATATTTTTTATTGATATACTACTTCGATGAGTTATAAAATATAAGATAATTTTTTAATTTAAATTTAAAAAATTTAAATAGTGGTATTAAATTCTTAAAATTTCTTTAATAATATATTTAAATTATGAAAAATAGAAAAGAGAGAAAAAAAAAACCTTTTAATCAATTAAATTATAATATTTTTAAAATATTATAATTTAATTTGTTAAAAACCTTTTTCTTCTTATTTTTTTAACTCCTCTTAACCTAAACATACAATAAATGAAAAGACCACTTGACGTTAACAACCCTAACTAGTTTTGCATTGCAAGAATGTGTTCTTTGGATAATGAGCAAAAAGTGTCCAAAATGGTAAAAATCTATCTTTTCTCTTCACATGCATCTTTTGATCCTCTTAGATTTTCCTTTAACTTTTTGAACAATCTTGTTAATTTAACCTTAAAAAAATCATGTTTATAATATATTAATTGATAAAAAAAACTTCTAAACTGCTTTAACTTCTATCAATTTTCTTCTATTTCCCGTGACTCAAAATTACTAAAAATATACAACCCTCAACTTTCAGAGATGAAAATGACACAAGATGAATGTATCTATGACAATTAATGGGAAAAGGGCAAACTTTCCATATGTTCATCCTATCTAGCAATAGCTGCTACATTTCCGAGTCTTAGATATCAGTTAGGGATATTCCTCAAAGGATGCAGACACTATTGTCTCTTTTTATGAGAAAATTACTCTTTAAACCTTAATAATTACATTGTTAATATCTTAAAGAAAATTTATAATATAAAAGTGACAATCTTCTTAGATGTCAAATCTTTTGGCAATCTCCATAAATTAAAGATTATCTTCTTTTATACTTTTATTAATTTTCTTAAATGGTTATACGATATAAATTTAAAATTTTTATAAAAACAAAAGCAAATTATACATAAAAAAACACACTTATAACATTAACTATTTTAGATAGGGTGTAGATTTATCAAGATTAAGACTTTGATTTTAATTTTTATGAAATTAATTCTCCTTCTCCCAAATTCTCTAATCTTAAAAAAAAAAAAAAAAAACCATACACAAGGAAGGAGAAGGAAAAGAAAGAAAATGTTTTTACCAATAAGCACAATTTTCTTGCATGGAATAAGTTGAAAAAATGAGGGTAAAAAAGTAATTGGAAAAGCTATCAGCCATCTGAAGCTCAATCATGGTACTTCTCCCCTGTAATCTTGTTAGATATCATTCTTTTCATTGACATCAGCTTAATACACCTTGACTTAAGCTTTTTCTTTTCCTAATCTAATCATCATTATCTTTTAATTAATCCCTCTTTCCCATTCTTTTCATTGATTTCCCCTTCAATACTCAACAAATCAGCAACCAATTTGGGTCCCACAAGTTTGCCCTTTCCTTTGACCCCTCAATTTTATTTGGAAAAATTTTTTGCAGTCCTGTACTGAACCGTAGAATATGGTTCTTTCATTAAAGAAAAACCATGTAACATTGGGTCTTTAATTCTTTATCTAAGAAATTATTTTTTGCAGTCTGGTACAGGCCGGACTGCAAAACAGAAATACATTTTATTTTCTTCACCTTTCCAGTTCCACTCCAGGTCCCTCTTCTCTCTCATGTAGGATACAGCTTTGTAATGAAAGCAGAGAGATTTTAGTTCAATACCATACTTAAAGAATCAATCTTTGATTACTGCCATTGAAGTTTCCATCATGCCCATCAAGATCTGTGTTTGCTCTTAACTCATCAGCTCAATACACTTTAAAAGAGGTATGGTTTGATACTGAAAAGGCAGTATTTTTGTTTGTTAAACTTTATAATCTCTCAACATATGAAGTGTTTGATGTTAAATTTTGATGGGTAGGTGATTATTTGAGATGGGTTTCTTTGGTTTTGGATTTAAGCTCTGGAAGTCTCTTGCTTTCTTGTGCATGTTCATTTAGGGGGTGATTTTGCAAATTGGCTTGTTAACTCTGGAATATACCTCCTCTGATTTTCTTTAGAGGGTTGTTTCTGTATCTCTGTTTTTCACTAAATTGAGGTAAAAGTTTTTATTTTGGTTAAGCTAATTTCCTCACCCTCTGTGTGGTTGCTGCTAGTCGAGAAGGAGATGATAAATTTTGGATCTCATGTTGGCTCTTTTCAAATGCGAATAATCCAGAGTGGCTTCTGGCTTCATCTATGTTGGAAACTAACACTAACTGGATGGGGAACAGAGTTTTGCTTCCAAATTGTAATAGCATTTCTCTCTGTTTTTTTCATGATGATATGGGTTTGTTTTGTAAGCCTACATAAATGAATGGGGTATGGCCAAGAGGATTTTTCATCATGAATGAAATTATAGTTGCCTTATCCATATTCTTCTT